AAGCCAGAAGGTGACTTGCGTGGAACTTTAATTCATCAGTAATCATCATCATCCCTTGATCTACTTAGACTGGTTTTATGAATCTTCATTTTACATTCATTCTTGTGAAGTGCTATATTGAGGTGTTTACTATTTTGCACAGTTATTTTTGCATAAATTTTTCTAGTTATATATCTTTGACATATTTTTCAGTATTGCTAATCCTTCTTTATAAATTTTATCTCAACTTACTGGTGCATATGCTGCCCTATATTTTCCTTGCTACATCTTTCTTTGGAAATAAGAGTAGTTATTATATACCTAGTTTTTTTTTGTTATTTGTAGGAGGCTGGTGTTTTCTATGCCTTCATAGAATTTGAAGATGTTGTTGGCGTTCAGAATGCATTGATGGTTTGTTATGTTTTGCTTATTTTCCCTAATCAGAGTAGCTTTGGAATAACTTTGCAAAATACTTTCATTGAATATTACTACAAGGTTGCTTTAAACAATTTCACACAGAAACTTAATGAATTTGTTTTGGAAATTGGTTTTATATGCCATTAAATTTTAGAAGCTATATGTTCCCTTCTTTGGTTGGCATGCAGCTTATGGATAGCGAGAAATTAATTTAGCTTGCTTTTTGAGTGTATGTGCATGTGTGTCTACATATTTAATTGCTTATGATAGATATTTGTTTTTTAAATTATCGATGGTGTCAACTTTTCTAGTCTTTTAATTGGTTCTTGTTATCTGTAGGCTAGTCCAGTGCTGCTGAATGGCAGGATCATTCATGTAGAGGGCAGGAGACCTAACAGTGGTGCTTCACGAGGCGGAAGTAAGTTCCTTACTTTTTTTGTTGTTGTTTATTACTTGTTATTCCTTGTTGGTGCTCTCTTAGGATTCAGTTTCTCTTCTCTCTCTCATTACATGTAACTTTGTTCATGCTTAATGGATAGGGCTTTGCCCAGGTTTTTACCCAAAAAAAAAGTTCCTTACTTTCATAGAATTTATTCCTAGCTTTCTTTCCAGTGAAATGGCTTTCCCGATATCTATTATTACTCCATGGCCATGTAGTTTAGTACTAGCGTTCAAGATTTAGATTAGCCAGAAAGATCAAATTTCTAGCTGTTTAAGATTCTTGCTATTCATACTAGCCTATGATTTAGGTCTCCTTTGGGGCGGCTTTCGTATTGCTTCTTAAAACAAATTTTTAGTATAAAAGTTAAAATTGTTGTAATAAAAAGTTGCTACATGAACAAGGCGATTCTTCTCAATGGCTCCATTAGCAACACCGATGGTTCACTTATATTGAGATTGCTGAGTATGAGATTTTATGAAAGCATATGAATAAATATAATTTTCATTTTCTCCTAGCAAATTCTTGACAATGATACTGAGATTGAATATAATTTTTTTGGATTCTATGCTTTTTATTATTGTTACCTCAAGTTCATAAAATGTGTTATTTCTCTATTATGAAATTTATCTAACTAAATGCAATATAAAGGAGTGATGGATTGATCTTAATTGTTATAACTAAGGCAAAATAACTGGATAATAAATTTTTTTACTAAATATCACAACTTATATATCCATAATTATATATCAAAACTTCATGAAATTAATGGGGCATGTGATTTATTAGGTTGATTATTTTGTGACCAATTTTTATTTTGGTCGCTAAAGGGAAAATGTAATTAATAAAATTAATTATTAAAATTACTAAATAGCATCCAAATAAAAATTCATTAGCGTCCAAAAAAATGGTCGTTAATTTGTCCAATTATAGCGACCAATACTAATTAGTGGTCGCTAATTTAGCAACCTAAAAATTTTTTGGTCACTAAAAGCCTCAGCGATGAGGCTACTGCGACAAATCAGCGACCTAAATATTTTTGGTCGCTATTTGCTTTAGCGTCCAAATTAATATTTTTAGCGACAAATTTTGTTGGTCGCTAATTACTTTTTTCTTGTAGTGAGCTATAGGAGCCTCTAATTTTTTTTTTTTCATTATGTAATTATATTTGATGGGTCGAGTTATGAAAGTTTCTAAAAATAAGGCATTTCAAATAAAATGGGTCCAAAGGGAAAAGAAAACCCTTACAAGGAGTTTCTTTTCATTTGGACACCATTCTAAAGGACGAACCATACAAAGACTCACAAAGGATCATAGTCGGTGGGCGACTCATGACAAAAGGATAGTACTTGGCGGGTGATAGTGGTCAGACATACCATTATCTAGTGATTGAGGTCAGAAGGATCATTGTAAGTGGGCAAAAGTGGTCTGAAAGATTATTGTCTTGTGAAAGAGGTCGGAAGAACCATTGTTGTGTGATAGAGGACAAAAATAATGTAGTCGGGTGAAGGTGGTCGAAAGGACCATAGTTAGTGGGAGACAGTGGTTAGATTGATCATTGTCTAGCAAAGAAGGTTGAAAGGAACGTAGGTGACAGGTGATAGTGATTAGAAAGAACATTATTTGTAATATAGGTCAAAAGAATTGTAGTTGGAAGGTGACAGTTATTGGGGGGAAGTCCAACAATAATCGTTGTCCAAGATGAAGTCCTGTGTAGTTGGTGCCAATCAGTGGAGGGGCAAAAGTTCGGTGTCAGTTAATGGAAGGGCTGAAGTCCTGAGTCAGCTGGTGTCCGTGGAAAAATCTGGCGATAGTCGGGGGTCCGACAGTGTTTGAGAAGGAGTCTGATGACAAGAGAACTTTAATTTCTTTCTCTATATTCTTTTCCTTGTTTCCCCCCTGACTTCAAGTAGAGAATGTGGGAGTTTATTTATAGTTTTCTAAGAGTATCATGAACAGTAAATAGGAAGGAGATCAATGGTATATTGGGAGTGATTTAAATGGACGACCAATATTGATTTCTTTGATCATGGACCATTTACTAGACATTTGATTGCCATAATGATGTGAGAATTTAACCATCTTGGACTCGTTAGATTCGTCTCGTCGAGTCGCTTGATTCGATTATAAGCATATTATGTTTGGAAACTGTTTGGTCATCCAATTTATAGTTTAAACCTTCCAAGGTGATACTAGTCTTCGATTTAGACCCATTTGGGCTCAGTTTGGGTCGAATTGGTGTTGTTGGGTTTATCTTTTTGATACATTCAATTCGATTATTAGTTTGTTGAAATCAGAGTTCATATGGCCCAAAGTTTAATTTTAGAAGTTTCAAATTCAGTTGTTTCTAGATTTTTGCCCGAGCAAGATAAATTTTTATGATACATCAATTAGATTATTTTGATCAACAACATAATTTCTTTAAATTCCTTATATTTATATTTATAATTAATAAATTGTGTAATATCAGAAATTATATTATATTTAAGCTATTTTTATATACACTTGACAAAGGAGGAATATCGCGCGAATGCCAGGGATGGAGGGGGACGGAGCCGGGCTGCCGGGTTTGGCCCTAGGCGTGCGAATCCGACAGAACAAGGGGAGCTCGGCGTCGGGCCTTGTCCGAACCAAGGGGAGACGAGAGAGAGGGAGAGGTTGAGCTCGGGCGTGAGAGAGAGCAGCCCCCCACTTTTTTTTTTGCCGCTTCCTCTTGTTTTTTTCCAAACCGAGTGTGTGAGGGAGCGGGATGGAGGCTTTAGCCTCAATTAGGGCGCCAAGGGAGAGAGCGTAGATCGGAGCCGTCCGATCAAATTCCTTGATCCAACGGTGGGATTCAAACCGGTTTGGAAATTCAATCAAACTTTGATTAGTATCTAGCTAGACCCAAAGGTGTAAAATAAAGCTCAAAATTGAGTCAAGTATGGTTCGATCCGGGTCAACTCGAGCTCGCCTCGACTCAACTAAAATTAATTCAATAAAATAAGATAAAATAAAATCAAACTCAAATTAATGTCGATTCGAAACGAAACGGGCTCGACGAGGCTCGATCAACTCAATCAAACGCGTCCGATGGCAAATCGGGAGAAAAACGAGGTCAACAGGTGGTAGAGAAGAAATCATATGTTAATTGTTGGTCGGGCAGATGTACGACATCAACTGGTGGTCGGGCAAAAGTTCGGTGTCAGTCATTGGTCAGTGTGAAGATTGGCGCCAATTGGTGGCCGGGGGGAAGTCTAGTGTTTTTCGGTGGTGGGGTGGAAGTCCAGTGTCAGTTGGTGGCCAGGAAAAAGTATGGCGTCAGTCAGTGGCGAGGAAAAAGTCTGACGTTAGTTGGTGGTCAGGCAGAAGTCCGACATTAGCTGGTGGTCGGGCATAAGTCCCATGTTACTCGATGGAAGGCCAAAGTAATGCATTAGTCTGTGGTTGCGTGAAAGTTTGGCGATAGTCGGTAGTCCGACAGTGCTCGTGGAGGAATCTAGTGGCAAGAGAACTTTCGTTTCTCTCTTCATTATGATCCTTGTTTCCTCCTGATTCCTCGTTTGGTCCCCCTTCAGGTGAAGAATGAAGGGTCTATTTATAGATTTTTTAGAATGGCGTGGCCAATAAATAAGAGGGAGATGAATGATATGTTATCAGTGATTTGAATGGACAACCGATATTGATCCCATGATTATGCATTCCTTACTAGGCATTTGAATGCCTTAACGATGTCATAATTTAACGATCTTGAGCTTGTTGGATTCGTAGCGTCAAGTCACTTAATTCGACTATAAACATGTTACGTTTGGAATCTATTTTGTCATCCAATTTATGGTTTAAGCCTTCCAAAGGCGCTTCGGATCTTCGATTTGGACCCATTTGGGCTCGGATTGGGTCGAATTTGGTATATCAATTAGATTATTTTGATCAACACCATAAGAATTTGAATATAAAATTCTTATATTTGTATATATAATTAATAAATTGTGTAATATCAAAAACTATAATAAATTTAAGCTATATAATCTTTTATATACACTTGACAAAAGAGGAATATCGTAAAACGATTTTTTTTACCATCCAATTATCCTGGCCATCGAAGGCAAAGCCAATGGGCGATAAAAGATTGGCGATAAATAAACCGTCCTCGCGTTTTCCCGAACAAGAAATACGAGCCCCGAGGCGAGCTTAATAAAATGCCCATAAATTGGAATCCCTTTGAATGGACAACTAGCAATATCTTTCTTGTTCTCCCGTCTAGACCGCAGAAACAGGGCGAGAAGAGCAATAGATGGAGAGAATATAGAACAACCGTTTCTCTCTCTCTCTCTCTCTCCTCTCCTGTTCGTCGTCGATAATCGCGAACTCTTCCATCGAAGGTATGCCAATCCGTTTTCACTTCCTGCTTTCCATTTTCCTGATTTACAGATTTCATGGTTTCGTTTCCTATGCTCGCTGCTGCTGTGATGGAATTAATTTACTACAATTCTTTTTCCCTGCCGTAAATGCTCGCTCATCCGTTTCCGATTTAAGTTTTTTTCATGATTGTTCAACGTCTGGGAAGAAATCTCAAAGATATTTTTATTTTTTTTACTTGTGTTTTATTTCTTTTGATTTTTTTAGTAAAGGGAATGGTTCCTTATCGATTTTATATTTTTATAAGCTTTTGGACAAAAATTTTCCGGGGCATTCTAAAAAGAGCCCGCCTAAATTTTTTCCGGTTAATAGAATAATAATTTTACTTATTTCGACAGATCTTAATAAGTATATTTTTCGGAAATTTTAAGAATATGGTTTCTTCCTATTTCATCTCAATCTTATTTTACTCATCTTGAAAAGAAAATTAGATTTTATCCTATTGTAATGATGTTTTTATTTGATATTTTATTCTAAATTATATTAATTATAATATAAATCAGACGATTTCAGAATTTTAATTATTTTATTACATTTTTTTTTCTTGAAGTTTCTATTCGAAATTACGATTCTGAAAATTCTGAAATATTTTTTTTAGGACTTTTGTTTTCTATATTTGGGGTTATTTCATTGGAATATAGTGTCCGAATTCAATTTTACTTTGCTAATCGGCACTAATTTTGTTATTCTCTTTTTAAGAAAAAAAAAATCTTCCTTTGCTTTATCTTAGTATAATTGTTCTCTTTTTTTTTTTTGACCTATAGGCTATTTTAGGTAAACTCACCCCTCCAACGTGTCTACACAAAGACTCGAATTCAAGACATTTTAGTTGGAAGCCTAAGCTCTCAACTAAAATGCTATGGTGAGCTGTGTATTGTCTCCCTCTAAAGGAAATAAAATTTTAATATTCCAAATTTTGAAAATATAAGAGTTATTATTATTTTTTAAATTAATATTTTTTTTGGAACATTTATGACACTTAAGGCAGACTCAAAAGCATCGCATACACCATACTCAAACCCAAAATCTCTTAGTTGGTAGCCTAAACTCCTAACCAAGAGGCCCTGATGAGTTGGGTAAGAACTAATTTTTAAAAACAACTTTATAATAATGTGACCACGTGTGAGTCTATCACACCTGGTTGGTGCAAAATTTTCCAAATATTTAGTTTTTTTTTTTATTTTCTAGTTGTAAAATATTGTATTACATAGGTTTTATTTGGGATATTTTTCACTGTTTCTTAAAATAAAATTTTAATAAAAAATTTAAAGAAAGCCATCTCATACGAAACCTTAATTTGTTTTTCTAATATAAGATATATCCAGCTTAACCTACATATTCTCAATTCGCTGATTTCCTTTGTTAGCTTCTTTCTACTTGAATTTAGACCATTACTTATAGATAGAGCAGTACATTGATGTCTTATCTTCGCTACTTAAACGAATGGTTCTTGTTGCGTCCTGGAGTATTCGCGGCGGTAGAGAAATATATAGTTTAACATTTTAGCATTATACGAAGATCCAACACATAAGCAGATTAGATAGAGAGTGTAGCGTTCATAAGAGACACCAAAGTTTTTATGTGGAACCCCCTGAAAAGGGGGAAAAAACATGGGGCCTGACCAAGTTTGAATGAATCCACTAATATTTGAAAACAATTACAAATAAGGCACTTCCTTAGGATAAGGCCTTGGCTTGATGGTACAAATGTACATCATATAGAGCGCATTTCATGGTGGGAGTTACAATATAAACATGTGTGTTTGGTCGGCATGATCATAGTCGATAGTATAGAGGTTAGAAATATCGTTGTTTGGTGATGGAGGTCGAAAGAACCATAGTAGGTGACGGAGGTCGGAAGGATCATAGTAGGTAGGAGATAGAGGTATGAAAGATCGTTGTTGGCAGAAGATCAGGGTCAGAAAGACCATTGTCTGGTGATTGAGTTCGGAATGACCATAATAGGTGACGGAGGTCGGAAGGATTATAGTCGGCAGGAGATAGAGATCCGAAAGACCTTTGTTGGCACGAGATTGTGGTCAGAAAGACTGTTGTATGGTGATGTAGGTTGCAAGGACCGTAGTAGGAGATGGAAGTCGCAAGGATCGTAGTCGGCAAGAGATAGGGGTCCAAAAGACCATAGTTGGTAGGAGATCGGGGTTAGAAAGATCGTAGTTGGCAGGAGATCGGGGTCAAAAAGATCGTAGGAGTAGGGCGGTACTTCGATAGAACATTAGACGGTGGTCCGACAGAAGTTTGAGCCTCAATTGGTGGTATGGTAGAAGTCCAGGCCTCAGGTGATTGTCCGGCAGAAGTCTGGGCATCACGTGATGGTCTGGGAGAAGTCCGGGCCTCAGGTGGTGGTCTGGCAGAACCTAGGGTCTCAAGTGGTGTTCCTGTGGAGCTAGGGCCTCGGGTGGTGGTCCGGCGGAACAACAACATCAGGTGGTGGTCCGACGGAGGTGAAGGCCTTAAGTGGTGGTCCGGAAGAAGTCTGGGCCTCAAGTGGTGGTTTGGCGGAAGTATGGGCCTCAGGTGGTAGTCCGGCTGAGCAACAACATCAAATTGTGGTTGGTAGAGGTGAGAGCCTTAAGTGGTTTTCCGGCGGAGTTCAGGGCCTCAGGTGGTGTTTCAGCAAAAGCAACGATGTCAGGTGGTGGTCCAACAGAGGTGAGGTCCTTAAGTTGTGGTCCGGCAGATCTCAGGGCCTTAGGTGGTGGTCCGACGGAGCAACTACGTAAGGCGGTGGTCCGGCAAATATGAGGGCCTCAAGTGGTGGACCGACAGAGCTCAGGGCCTCAGGTGGTGGTCTGACAGAGCAACGACGTTAGACTCCGACGAAGGTGAGGGCCTCAAGTGGTGGTCCGGCGGAGCTCAGGCGGTGGTTGAGGAAGAGCTTCTTTCTTCTCTTTCTTCTCTTCTTGCTTGGATCCCCCTTTTCAAGAGAAATGAGGGATCTATTTATAGATTTATGGAGTGGCATGACCCATAAATAGGTGAGAGATCAATGGTAAATGGGGAGTGGTTAGATGGACGGCCGATATTGAATCCCTTGATCGTGTATCGTTCGTCAGACATTTGAAGGCCTTAATGATGTTAGAAGTCAACGATCTTGGGCTCGTTGGATTCTTCTCGTCGAGCCGCTTGATTCGATTATAAGCACGTCATGTTTGGAAACCGTTTGATAAGCCAAATTATGGTTCGAACCATCCAACGGTGCTTTGGGTCCTTGATTTGGACTCATTTGGGATCCTATTGAGTTGAATATTAGTGTCATTGGGTTCGTATTTCTGAGACGTTTAGTTCAACCGTAAGTTTGCTGAAATCAAAGTTTGGATGGTTCCAATTTTAATTTTGGAAGTTTCCAACTTGATTTTGCATCGAGATTCATGCCCAATCAAGATAATTTTTTGATGACGTACCAGTACTGAGAAAAAATGTAACTTCAAACAGTTATAAGTTTTTTTTTAGCTAATATCAAGTTTCGTTATTATATGAATTCCTTAGTTATTTTTTATAGCTAAAAGATACATTTAACGACCTTTTTTTGTTTCTATTTTTTTGGTCATTATTGATCCATTTTATTATAACGAAGGATTAAGTAAAATTTGAGACAACACTGATATTTACTTAAAAATTTGCCCTCCTTGAAAATTTAGCCCGATTCTCCCTGGTGGGATATATGTAGTAATCACCTTAAAAATTATGTGCAAGAACTAAAATGGTCTGTTTTCATATTTGTATTTACTTGCGTATAGATATTTTTTAATGTATAATTTACAACTATAGATTTTTTAATATATCAGAATTTACCTAATATAATTATATATATAAACATTTAATATACTGAAACAAATAATAATCTTTTTTAATTTTATATCTCAAATCAGCTGGTCTTATATTGCCTAAAAAGACAAATGACTTTTAAAATAACTTTATATCATTATCTGAGATAAATTATACGAAGTCTTTCTCTCAATTATTTTCTATTAAGAGTTGTTGCGGGCTAGAATATATGCGGCGATAGAGTTGAAATACTTTCGGCTTAGCGTTGTACGAATATTCAGCACACAAACAAGAAATGAAAATAACACCAGGATTTTTACGTGGAAAAGCCGAAAGAGGAAAAAAAATCACGGGGCCACGCCCAGTTGAAGTAATTCCACTAGTGTTTGTTTGAAGTATAGTGGTTGATTCGTCCCACAAGTTAGGACGATCAGATTACAAAGAGTTTCTCCTGAATTGAAATTCAGTTACAAAGTTATAAAGAATTCTGGCGTCTCTCGAATATCCGGTAGAATTCCGGCGTATTCAGGCGGGGAAAAAACTCCGGCGGTGGTCGAGGAGGCGATGATTATCCTCCTTCTCTTCTTCTCTCTCTTGCTTGGGTCCCCTCTCATGAGAAATGAGGGGTCTATTTATAGATTTCCTAGAGTGGCATGGCCCGTAAATAGGTGAGAGATCATGGGCGAATCCTGAGTGGTTCGAATAGACGGCCGATATTGAATCCCTTGATCATAGATCGTTCTTCAGATATTTGAAGGCCTTCATGATGTCGGAATTTGGCGATCTTGGGCTTGTTGGATTCGTCTCGTCGAGCCGCTCGATTCGACTATAAGCTCGTTAAAATCAGAGACCGTTTGGTAACTCAAATTGTGGTACGAGCTTTCCAACATCACTTCGTGTGCTTGATTTGGCCTCATTTGGCTCGGAATGAGTTGAATTTGGTGTCGTTGGGTCGTATTTCTGAGACGCTCAGTTTGGCTATAAGGTAGCTGAACTTTAGTTCAGGTGCTTCCGGATTTAATTTTTAAAGTTTCCAAGTTAATTTTTGCCTCGTGATTCGTGCCCGATCAAGATAGTTTTATGATGACGTATCATTTGCCCCTTTATTTTCGGACGTCGAAGCTCTAGAAGTCCGAAAATACTTCCGAAATTTTATATTGGTTGAATCGCAAAAAATT